TGTGACAGTCATCACAGTGGCTTAGCCTACATGAGCGTGCAGGGGTGTAAAGAGTACTGAAAATCCCTTCTCAAGTACAAGTACTGTTACTGTAGTGATAATTTACTCAAGCACGAGTAAAAGTATTAGTAAATAAAATTACTTAAGTAGGAGTAAATAAGTAGTTAATTGAAAAACTACTTAGGTACTAAGTTACTTTTTCGTATTCCGCTGTCACAACCTGAACATATTTTTGAGCTGACTCAGCTACATCATTGGAAATAATCTGTACAGAAAAACACTGAAGCAAAAGTTCTGAGAGCTGAGACTAATCACAGTATGCTCTGCTAGTGCACATTTACACACCTTTCTGTGAACTGTGTAAGGAACAACGTTTGCAATAAAGTGCATGCATTTCATGATTAGATGGTTATATTAGATGTCCTTGTTTATTTGCTTCCAATAAAGTATTTTAGAATTCCCGAAAGACTGTGCAGGGGATGTTACTGTTTAATTAACTTCATTTAAGAGACTGAATCGAGGGAGAGAGGGAGAGGGAGAGGGAGGTGGGGAGGGATCAGATCAGGCCAGTCAACGACAGCGCGACAGAAACACTGTCTAGAGTTTAAGAAGAGCCTGTATTAGACTAGATTTCTTGTCTCACGACTGGTTATTTCCACAACAGCAGCTAAACTAGGCTGTATTTAAATGGTATGCTGTAAGCTGTGTGCGACACCTGTTAACTAAAGTAAAAGCTGACAGACACTTGTAATGAAATATACGCAGCAGATTTCAAGTTTAATAAACAGAAGCTTTATAAAAGAAAGAAGCAATCCGTAAACACAGTACCTGTTTAGCTCGGATCAGCTAGCTTGGCTAATGGTGCCTCAGGCTGGAGTCGAGCTGTGAAAGCGGATCTCAGCATTTTTTATGTTTGGCCACTGATAATAATGCCGTTTTCTTTAGATCATGTGAAAATGAATACAGATGATCGTTTGGATGCGGTCTGTTCCTCGTGTGTGCTGGTTCAGTTCTCTGTTCTTCTCCACTAAACTGGACATCTCTGTAGTGTTTTTCCTGCCAGAGCTGCTGTTTTTTGATTGGTGAATCTTTTAAATTTAACCGCGATTCGTTCGTATTGGTTTCTGAGTTGATATGCTCATAGTTTATTTTTACCCTGTAACGTTATGAAAATTAAAGTAGCGAAAAAAAGAATTTCATTAAAAATTAACTCAAGTAAGAATAAAAGTACTATAATTTAATTCTACTCCAAAAAGTACCATTACAGGGAAAACTGTACTCCATTACAGTAACGAGAGTAAATGTAATTCATTACTTACACTTCTGTGAGTGTGGCAGTGACAGTGAGATGAGAGCCCCATAGCATTAATTGACAGTCATTACACTGGCTTGACCCACATGACAGTGGCACCTGGCAGTGTGGTAAAAGCTCCTTAGCATTATGTGACAGTGCTACATGACAGAGCCTACATGGGCCCACATGACAGTGGCATGTGACAGTGAAATAAGAGCCCCCTAGCATTATGTGACAGGCAGTACAGTTGCTCGGCCTACACGACAGTGGCATGTGACATTGAGATAGGTGCCCCCCCCAGCACTATGTGATAGTCATAACAGTGGCCTGGCCTATGCGACAGTGCCACGTAACAGTGAGACAAGAGCCCCCTCGTAGTGTTATGTGTCAGTCATTACAGTGACTTGGTCTGTGGCACGTGACTGTGAAATGAGAGTCCCCTAGCATTTTGTGACATTCCTTACAGTGGGTCTAGGGTTAGCCTATGTGACAGTGGCATATGACAGTGAGATAAGAGCCTCCTAGCATTATGTGACGGTTTTACGTGACAGAGCCTACATAGGCCTACGTGATAATAAGACAAGAGCCCCCTAAAGTTAGTGACATGACAGATCCTACATGATGGTAGCACTTGGCAGTATGATATGAGCCATGTTACAGCCATTTAAGTGGCAAGGATTATGTAACAGTGGCACTTACACAGAGAAATTTTGGTCAGACATTGTTTTTTTAACCATTCTCATTTTATTGCCAACTTCTCTTTTTAATTCCTTTAATTCCTTCTCAGAACCAACCTGCACTGACCCAAAGAAATACTATAGGGGTTTATTGGTTGAAATGTTTAACACAAAGCATTAATACAAATCCTTGAAACAATTGTAATTTAGAGATTTAGAACAACACAGTAAAATTGTAGTTCTTAATCACTGAATACATTTTAATACAAAATAATAATAATACCTAAATAAATGAATTGCAAAAATACAAAATATGACAGTCCAACAAGAAAATCATTTCATATTTCAGCATCAAACATCAGGATAAAGTTTTTGTAGTTCTTACATATCTGTCCTTTAATTTGTAAATGTGTTATGCTATTTAACATAATTTTTGGTCATTTTTGAACAACAATGTCACTTTTGTGCTGAGAGTGGTCCACCACCTTTATAATATCTAGTCAGCTGTGGTTTTAGGGTCCATTGATGGTTTTGGCAGTGGGTGGTTTGGTAAGAATGCTGATAAAAGTACTACATGGCCAAACATATGTGGACATCCCTTCTAATTAGGCGGTTTGGCTATTTAAGCCACACCCATTGCTAACAGGTTCATAAAAACAAAAATACATTTTAGGCATATTAGCTTATTATTTAAAGCCCTTTCTTGGCAATAAGTCTTTAGTGTCTTTTTGCCTGTAAAATCAACATTTTTGTATGAAAATACAGTAGAACGATATCTTGTGAGCTAGTTTGAAGTTTGGTTGAGCCAAAACTTTATGACCACTCACGAATGAGGCGAATAATGTCTATCTCATAACAACAGTACAAGTCATGGTCTGAGATATATTGGACAGTAAGTGGACAGTTGGTTGTTGTAGTTCATGTGTTGAAGACTTGAGCAACGTTGACAAGGGCTAAATTATTATGGCCAGACACCTGGATTGCAGAATCTCCGAAATGGCAAGGCTTGTGGGGTGCTCCTGGTCAGCAGTGGTGAGTACCTACCAGTGGTCCAAAGAGGGACAAACCACGAACCGGCAACAGGGTGTAGGGATCCCAAGGCTCATCGATGCCCAAAGGCTATCCCGTCTGTTCTGAACTGACAGAAGAACTACTGTGGCACAGAAATCACAAAAAAAATTAATGATGGCTACAGGAGGAACTCTGCTATGTATGGGCCTGCATAGCCACAGTCTGGTCAGTGTGTCCATGCTGACCCCTGTCCACCATTGAAAACGCCTACAATGGGCACATGAGCATCAGAACTGGACCTTGGAACAATGGAAGAAGATCTCCTGGTCTTCTGATCCATTTTCTTGTAAATGGCTGGGTACATGTGCTGCATTTACTTGGGTAAGTGATGGCACAAGGATGCACTGTTGGAAGAAGACAAGCTGGTGGAGGGGGTGTGATGCTCGTTTGTCATTAGTAACATGCTTTACACCACTCCACCTGATGCTCCCCATTGCACATGGTGATCTTAGGCTTATGTTCTGTTGCTATGCTTCTGTAGCCTATCCCAGCTGTCATTGGGCGGAAGGCAGGAAACACCCTGGATAGGTTGCCAGTCTATCGCAGGGCAATTTGACAAACATGAAAAGGCGTTCTGTGACAGTGCCACTTTAAATGTGCAAAATGTTGTTAAATAGCTTAACTCATTTATAAATTTAATGAGCGATATATATATATATATATATATATATCACTCCAAAAAAAACAACTTGATGTTTGATGCTGAAACGCGAGATGATTTTCTTGTTGGCCCGTCATATTTTGTACTTTTGCATTTTATTTCATATCATTTATTATTTTTCACAGAATATATTAAATGATTAAGAAATGTTATTTTATTGTCGTTGACTGGCCTGATCTGATCTCTCCCCACCTCCCCGCCCTCTTCGTCTCCCTCTCCCTCTCTCTTGCTCTCTCTCTCGCGCTCTCTCTCTCTCGCGCTCTCTCTCTCTCTCTCGCGCTCTCTCTCTCTCTCTCTCTCTCTCTCTCTCTCTCTCTCTGTACTAAATCCTTGAATTATAATTGTTTCAACAATTTGTGTTAATCTGTGTTTCGTGTTTCATTTCAACATTTCAACTAATAGACCCCTATGATTTTTTTTTTTCTGGGTTAGTGCAAGTTGGTTCTGAGAAGGAATTAAAGGCTGTTAATGTGTTAAAATGAAGTGTGTATGTGTGTGTGTGTGTGTGTGTGTGTATTTATATATATATATATAATGTGTGTGTGTGTGTATGTATATATATATATATATATGTATGTATGTATGTATGTATGTATGTGTATGTATGTATGTATATTCTGTTATAATCAGAAAACAAAGACTAGTACAAAATAATAACATTTATTTGTGTTTGGCATCACTTATATAAATGGCACAAAAGCATACATTACAGTTTTGATATAGAATTTTTAAATAATTTACTGCCACCGGCGCACACATGCTTCTGTAGCCCATCCCAGCTGTCAAGGACCTGTATTTAGAGAGTGAACAAAGATATTGGTGTTATCATTTTTATGACATAGATTATGTATTTGTGCACAGTCAGTCTAAAATTGGCCACATTCTAAATTTTATTTTCTGAAATATAAGGAATAACAATTGATCTCATAATTGCTTATGGGGGCCGCCTAGGTCTCGTGTAACCTGCTGTGATGTGATATAAATAAAATCACTGACCACCTAAAACAGGTAGCCAGGTAGTGGCCCACCAAATATTTGAGCCCAGGAGCTTCTAACTTGATGATCCAGGCCTCCCTGCAAGTGAGGTGTTTCTAATAAATGTGAACAGAATACGCATATACTTGTGTGCTAATCTTTCATTTTTATGAGTCCTTCAAATAAAGTGTTAGTAGACTAAATTCAGTAACTAGCTATTTTCTATGTTCCAGACAAGTTATAGACATGATCCTGTGTTCAATTAGGTCTCCATGTTTCCTTTGCACTGATGTACCATGTATATGTTTATTGCCTCCTGCAGGCAGTGAGCTGATTAACCGTGTGGTCAGTCATCCAACCCAATCTGTCTCTATCACTGCCCACGAAAACCGCACCATCCGCTTCATGGACAACAAGACAGGTGTGTATGTGTGTGTGTCTGTAAACAAAATGTAAGGCTTAAGCCTAGATGCATTTTATGGGGCATCTACCAGTAATTACACTGCTGATTTTTCCTATCCCCTTGTAAACAGACTAGAAAAGCCTTTGGTTTTTTGTGTTATTTATGAGCACTCACAGTGAAAACCTCAGTTACTACTCAAAAAGATCTTTCTCACAACTCATCTTTTGCTTCTTATGATGATTATGAAGATAAAACTGTTCTACACATATATATCAAGTTGGGACAGGGGTATGTTTACCACTATGTTGCATCACCTGTTCTTTTAACATCAATCTGCTGTAAGACCAACTGCTGTAGTTTAGAAAGTGAAATGTTGTCCATTCTTGCTTCTTATAGGATTTCAGCTGCTTAGCAGGGTCTCCTTTGTCGTATTGTTTTTTCATAACGTGCCAAATGTTTTTAATGGGTGACAGGCAGGCCAGTTTAGCACCAGGACTCTCTTACTACAGAGCCAGGCTGTTGTAATACATGCTATTGTGGTTTGACATTGTCTTGCTGAAATAATCAAAGCCTTCCCTAAAAAAAGACATCGTCTGGATGGCAGCATATGTTGCTCCAATATATCTTTCAGCATTAATGGTCCCTTTACAGATGTGAAGTCACCCTTGCCATCTGTACTAATGCACCCCCATACACCCCCATGGATGCTGACTTTTGAACTGTGAACTGATAACAAGCTGGGTAGTCTTTAGCCTGGAGAACACGATGTCAATGATTTACAAAAAGAATTTTGATTCGTCAGACCACAGGACACTTTTCCACTTGGAAAATGGACCAGTCCATTTTAAATTAGCTCAAGCCCAGAGAAGGCAGCAGCGTTTCTGGATCCTGTTTATATATGGTTTCTCCTTTGCATGGTAGAGTTTTAATTTGCATTTGTGGATGCAGTGATATACTGTGTTCACAGACAGTTATCAGAAGTGTTCCTGAGCCCATGCAGTGATTTCCACTACAGAATAATTTCTGTTTTTAATGCAGTGTCGCCTGAGGGCCTGAAGATCACAGCCAGTCAATATTCATTTTCAGTCTTGTCCCTTGCATACAGTGATTTCTCTGGACTCTCTGAATCTTTTGATGGTGACTGGGTATAAAAACAGCATCCCAGAGAAGCTGAGTCTTTTAGAAGTAAAGATGGGGAAGCGTTCACTACTCTGTGATTGACTGTGTAGGCGATTAGAGCAACAGTTCAAGAATAACATTTCTCTACGTAAATCAGCAAAGAACCTGGGGATTTCATCATCTATTCTACATATTATTATAAGATGGCGAGAATCCGGAAAAATCTCTGTACATGCAAGGGACAAGGCCGAAAACCAGTTTTGAATGGCCGTGATCTTTGGGACCTCTGGTGGCATTACATTAAAAACAGACACGATTCTGTAGTAGAAATCACTGCATGGACTCAGCAACACTTCCAAAAACTGCCGTCTCTGTATGGGAGGCAAATCCAGCCAAAAAAGAAATTAAAATTAAAACAATAAATGTAGATGCAAACCTCTTTTTGCCATTTCTTTTACCAAACATCTGCGCAAATATCCTGCCAAAATTGAAAATAAAATTAAATACCTACATTTGCAATTTCGTTTTTCACATGAGCACGAGCCATTTGTGACAAAAATAAATTTAAAACTGCTATTTGTTATTTCATTTTAGTCATTATTCTGGTATTTCATGGCCGTATCTAAAATGAAAAAGGTAAAAGAGAAAGGAAAATACAAGCTTCACTTTGGCTTTTCTTCATAATATGCAGAATACGTGTCAAAACCAAAATTAAAATGCAATGTTTGTCCTTATTTCTTTTTCATAGCAATAGGCTGCATATCTGACAAAATTAAAATGAAAATGCAAAATGGATAAATCAACAGGAAAGTGAGTTGTGTAAAAGTTTGTGATTCAGTTTTCGGCATGGACGTGCTTTAAGCGTCAGAATAAAAAGGCAAATGCAAACGAACATCGAACGCCACCTTATACATTACATACCTGGTACATTATAGGACATCTTCAGACCTCAGCGTCAGAAAACACACCATGTAAATATTCTTTTTTTTTTTGTCTCTTTTCCTTTTTCCTTTCTTTCCTCCAGGGAAAGTGATTCACTCTATGGTGGCTCACCTGGATGCAGTAACTTGTCTCACCACAGACCCTAAAGGCACTTACCTCATATCTGGCAGTGAGTATACTCATTCTCACACCATTCCCACTGGTTAAAATATCCATAGTATAGTGTATTTGGAAGGCTTCTAAAGAAGGCAGTATAATTTAGTATAATGCATACTTGTTGTTTCATTATGAGCTACTGGTTTAGTGGTAGATGGCTCAGTGAGTGGAAGCCTCAGCACAGCGCTTTCTAGTTGTATTTGCTCAGATTCTTCTTATTCTTCTTTTTCTTCTTCTGAAAAATGTGTTGTGGAGAAGAGACCATCATAGAGACACCAAACTTTTTTGGGTAGGTGTAGTTTGTGTGCATCTAGCCAGGCAACAAAAATTACCCTGAAGGGGGCGCTATAGCACTGTAAACGCGTTTTGCCTCATAACTCCTAAACCAACATTTTTGGAGACAACATTCTTTCTTTTCCTGATTCCTTGGCTCAATACAAACTGATTTGAAATTTGGACCATTCAGCTCCACCTACTTTTTTGCATCAGTGTTGGATCACATATGTCATTAGGGGACACTATAATTGTCAAATAACTGTTTCTCAGCATCCAACATCAGATCAAGCTGATATTTTACAGATGGCATTTTTTAGACAGCCTATAAGTGAAATTTATGGTCAATATCAGCCAATCAGTTTTCAGCAGGCATTTGACAGGCTTCTTGGTCTTGAAACTTGAATGGTGTCTCTATGTAGGCACTTTCTGACAAACAGTGAAGTTTCAAAATTGATGGGCGCTATTCATGAAAATCAAGTAATTATTACATATTACATGTGCATATTTTCTTTTTTTGGTCACATACCTGGGTTTGTGTAATGTAGTACTATGTGCCAAACAAATTTGCAAAGTGTATTAACGAAATGCATAGTTTTTGCCTTAACTATTTAAGAACCACACTTTTCAAACTAGTCTCTGGGTTTTGTTCCTAACTTTTCAAAATTGGTCTAGAAATACTCTGTGGCTTATCTAGGTAAATAAATATAAAAAAAAATACTCATCATGGTCTCTTTCTATCAGTTAATCACTGCGGCCATGGCATTGCTTGCTTAAATTACTAATTCTTCAGTCATTGGTCTGAGATATTCGTTTAAAGACTACAGTTTATTATTCAAAGGTGAAAAGGTCAGTTTCAACAAAACATCTTTAAGTTCCCTGGTCAATAATCAATAGCTCCTCTATGCCTAAAGGGCCCCTTAAGTGGGTGCACTGGGCCTCATCATGGCATACATATGAAAGGGTTAAATATGAAGAACCAAACCATTTTGCAAATACAACTATGATAGAAATTCTACCATTAGTCATGTATTGTTGACATCCATGTTGACAATCTTTTGCATGTGCAACAAAGCTCATGACATATGAAATGAAGCATGTAGTATGTTCAAAGACCACTGCTCAACAATTAGGGCCTTATGATAACCTCTGGCCTCCCAGGACTTTTTATCTTCTCTCTATTAATGAGACCCAAACTGCATTAGGTCTTGTTAGGCCTAGTTGGGTAGAACTGCATATTGTGCCGATGCTTGCTTGAACCCGCAGATTGCTGTATGCGGCTATATTATTATCTTCGTTTTTGTTTTTTGCGTGTTCAGCTACTCAAATCTGGTTAGTTACACCAGGGACGAACTGCTTAACATAAAGCACTTCACTCTAGATAGCTTTTCGGCAGTTTTCACGAACCCAGGAAGTTGTTTGAAGATCCTTGTTGGAGGAACAGCGGCTCTCTGTGGGACACAGAGGAGAAGTGCGCTGGTGAGGATGTGAAGTTCTGAAGAGGGATTTTGAACTGCGCTCCCATCGATTCATCTGGCGAATCTCCTCTCCTTGCTCAATAAAATGAACAAACTGCTTCTCCTCAACAGGACGAACAAGAGCTTTGTACGCTGTGCTGATCTTTGTTTTACTGAGACCAGGCTGCCGATTACATCTGTCAGACTTTCATCTATGTGTAATGGAGCTGTCAGGGAAAGCGAAAGGCGGTAGAAGTTGCTTCTACATTTAACAAATGTTGGTGTAAAGTGCTAAATAAACACTGCAGCCAAAACTTGTTAATAAACTACAAGTCATTTCTCCTTCATTCTGGTCGGTGTTTACATTCAACCTCAAACCAACAAAAATTTACAGACTCACTCATTATAATATAGGTTGCATATTAATTGGCCCACCAGGTATAATAACACACTGGACTACACCATTCTTAAAGACCCTCTGTCCCCTGGGCAGCTTCAGGGCACTGATCACTGCTTGGTTCAACCTATTCCAACCTACAAGCAAAAACAAAAATCTGCAATGCCTTTTGTAAAAACAGTGAAGAAATTGACCAGAGAGGCAAAGCAAGAGCTGCAAGATTGTTTTGAATGTACCAGCTGTAGCGTTTTTGAAGCTGCAACTGACAACCTAGTTGAACTGACTGACACTGTGACGTCTTACATCAGTTTTTGCAAAGAGATGTGTATGGCAACCAAGACCGTCTACACATTCAATAATAATAAGTCATGGTTCACAGCCAAACTTGGACAGCTTCATCAGGCCAAGGCTGATGCCTACAGAAGTGGAGATGTACAAACAGGCCAGAAACTCACTGACAAAGGAGATCAGAGTGGCTAAAAGAAATTACATGGAAAAGCTGCTAGAACAGGTTTTTGGAACCAAACCAAATTCCTTTTGTGTGTGTCAACATACTTGGTTAATAAATCTGATTCCAATTCTGATTTTGAACTAATAATGCAAATTTTAACGCAAATTTCAGGTCAACTTATTTGCAAGATCTAGGTATCAAAACCCTGAAGTACTTGTTTAAGCTTCCAAGTTATGGTATATAAATCCATCTGTTGGATATAAATATAAAATATCTTCCCTCACCCATCGATATATCTCTCTCTCTCTCTCTCTCTCTCTCTCTCTCTCTCTCTCTCTCTCTCTCTCTCTCAGGTCATGACTGCTCGGTTCGCTTGTGGATGCTGGATAATCGAACATGCGTGCAAGAGATCACAGCCCATAGGAAGAAGCATGATGAGGCCATCCACGATGTGGCGTTCCACTCCTCACAGCCCTTCATTGCCAGTGCTGGAGCTGATGCCCTGGCTAAAATTTTTGTCTGACTGCCTAATCCTGGCTCTTTTTCATCTTCATTGGTTAGTGCATATAGTTTCCCCAAATGCAGGCTAGTTTGGCTTGGTGATGAGAAATATGTTTTGAAACAGACTATGCAGGTTTCAAGCTAGAGGCAGACTTCGTGTTTGATTGTGTTTGTTTGCATTTGTAAGTGTTTGTTGCATTACCTCTCTCTCTCTCACCTTTCTCATGCTCTCTCTCCTTTTCCCCTTGCCCCCTCCCATGTCTCCCTTCTTGGTCTGCTCCTCAGGGGATACACCTTCACTATTGGGCCTGACGTTGGGATGATTCTTCTACACATACATTACATGCACAAAGAGGAAACAACACACCACTGCCTGTGTAATAGGCATGGGACTCCATTCCTCATATTACTTTGCTTTCCTTTCCTTTAATGCCTCACACGCTGTGACAGAAATTGTACTTTGTTGACAGGAATTGTTTTTTAAATGCAATGGTTTTAATTTTAATCTGCACAAGGATTATTTTTTGTTTTTTTTCAGGCTGTTTAGTGTGTAGAAAGTAATTTCCATTCTTTTGACAGATGTACACATCTTCATACCAACACACAATTGTTTTCATTTTGATGTCTGATTTAGGACAAGTATTTGACTGCTGTTGGCCGACAAGACACCTCCCAAGTTGCATATTTCATCAGTGCCAATGTTAAACATCCTTGTCTGTAAGCTAATTCCCAAATAATGGGAACAGCTGTTGCCTAGTTACATGGGCAAATGATGCATTTCATTCCAAAGACTGCTGTAGAAGACTTCTTTAGGCATCCAGTTGCCACTTTTCAGCAGTACAGAAAAAAGTCATAGCTTTAACTTTAGCCTCATAACTGCACACTCAAAGCCTTAGATTTTCAATGTTCTCCCTCATTTGTATCATTACATTTTTATATCAAGTGTGTGTTTGCTATGTGTGTACGTAGAACAGGAAAGTGTCTACATGTGATTGCATCATCATAATTCATATCCACACTAATCACATAATGAGAAGTGGTCTGCTGTTTTGTAGAAACTTTGGTTGCAAATGCTTTTTGGCCAGGTAGTTGCAAAGAATCTTTTATGTACATAATGATACTCTCTCTCAGTGTGCACTGTATATAGCCCGCTGTCTCACAAATCTTGGTGCTAAGCTCTTCTGAATCAGGGAACTGTTGCTGTAAGCTGGTGGAATGTATTTATACCTAGCGTAAGCCTGCCATTGCTAAGTTGTTCCATCCACTAGGCAGTTTCCTGCAACTTCAGAATAACAGCCATTCGAGTGAAATTCAAAAATCTGCTGATGAAATGTGCTTTTATTAAATGTGACAAGTGGCATCATCTGCATCTTGGTAGACACTGATGTCAGAGCAGTATGAATTCTTGCTGTTTGCTGCAGGATGGACTTTGCCTCCATGTTAAACTTTATAAGGTTTATTATTTACCATTACTATTATTGATCTAAGAAGGTTAAGCATACAAAGTTGTTTATTAGTGAGGGTGATTGATAATTGCTTTTGCAAAGTTGCCATCTAAGTTGCCAGTTTAACTTCAAAGGATTCTTTGTCATAGTTTATCTAGAATGTGTTTCACTAGCCCCTAGAGTTCAGGGAGAGTGGAGGGAGGCATCTGAATATGGTAAGCAGCTTGTCTGGTTCTTATTAGTGTGCTTTTGTCAGTGGTGGTGGAGTTTTGTTACAGATCCAGGCACCAAATAAAACTCTGAAGGGCCTGTCTCTACCCTGCTCCCTGTAGACATAGTGACAAGATGGAAAACACTACTAAAGGAGAGACGAGATTTTATGAACCCAAATGGGAGGATGGGAGAAAATTAGAGGAAAGAAGCAATCACAGTTTAGTGCACAATAATTTTGACAGAGAATAGCTATGAGCATTGGTGGTCAAAAGTCATGATGGTTTTTGCCAGCTTTTGTATTACTTGGTTTGTTTTTGCCAATTGACCTGTTTTCTACAGATGCATGACTGGAGGCTTGTTGGTAAGCAATGGAAAGAGCAATTACAGTAAGCCACTTTTAGAGAGAGTGTAGTTGTCAATCAGTAACTTGGCTCCCTCTATTCAAATACCTCTCCATCCTGGAATAAAAGTGTACACACTAGCAGGGGATGCACAGAATGTTATTCTTTTTCAAAAGCAAGCTAAATACTCCCTTGGTATAGTATTGCCATATAAAATGGCAATAATGTCTTCAGTGATTTTAGTGAGGAATCATGGAAGTCACTTGTTCAGTCAATGCATGTTAAACACACAATTGCAGACTTACTGGGATAGAGATCATCTTCCCTAGCTGTTTGCTCCTTTCCTTGGAAGTGATTCAGGACTTAGGAGTGATGGTTAGTTTCATGCTACACTACATTTTTAAGTGAACTGGGATTATATGGTCTCTAATAAATAATTGTTAGGTTCACTTCCATAGATTGCAGACTGCATGAGTCTGTAGAAAGTTTTAGTAGGCCCCTTTTTTGTACCCTTGAACCTCAAACTAGCCTTTTAAAATGCCGAAGTAATCACATTTCTCCAAGTGAGGATAAATCAATTACAGAAAGAAAGATGAAAACATAAAATGTAGCTGCCATTGCATAATATAAATGTCTGCCATACTCACCCTCGTTTGTTGCTTTTCTTTAATAGAGTCATCATTATTTTGATTACAGTTCTTAAGGTGTAAGAATATAATAGTATCATATGTGATTATTTGGGTTTTTTAGGCTTAGAACTTGCTTGTGATTGAGAAATGCAGTGTAAAGCTGTTGGGGGAGGAGTAATAGTTATAGTCAAAGGCCAAGGTGAAAGGACACATTTTTTCTGTTTTGCAATTTATCACTGTGTGATATTTTGTACTACATATTAACCTACACATTCTAACATTATCATCTAACTCCAAAATCAAAAGACCTGCCTTTTATTTATTTTATTTTATTATTTGTTATTCATATTTTTGAACTGCATTCTACCTAGAATGAAATTATACAATTACGTAGTTTCCCTCTTCATTGATTTTGGTTTACGTGCAGGTCTTGTTTTATGTTATTTGGAAAAAATAAAGTTTTTGTACATAGAATGCAGTACAGTAAGAAGGTCTCCTGTGTTCTTTGTACTTCCTTTGACAACCCATAAAAATGTAATATGAAAATGTCTATACAGAGCACACATCTACATATTTCCATAAAATAACTGCTATATGAATCAGATGGAATTGAATGTCCATGTTCATTTGTGAGACACTTCAACTTTATCTGTGTAAGAATAATAATCTAGATACTGAAATTTGTTGAAACATGGGGGACATTGAGCCAAGCTTCTGATCATTTGATTAGTTAGATAAAGCCTTTACTAAATATATACAGCCCCAGACTGCCACTCTGTATGTAGCTATTTATTTTATTCATTTAGTTGCTGTTTCTACCTTGGCCATGCTTTGTTTTGTACAACAGACATGCTGAATATGACTTTCAGACATTTTCAGTTGTAAATTCCTGGCAGTACTTCTAATGGAGCTATGCTGTATGTCCAAAGATTTTAAGAGTTTCTTTGGAAATCAAAGCGTATTTATAGGCAGTGTGTCCCCACTGCAGTGCTGCAGTAACAGTCTCTACTCTTCTGGGAAAATGGCTTACACAGTGGATATTGCAACATTGCTGTCAGGATTTGCTTGCAACCACAAGAGCAATTGTGAGGTCAGGTGCAGATGTGGCAGTCCAACTCATCCCACAGGTATTTTGTGGGTGCTCCATCACAGCAGAGAACACATCTTGTTAATCATGAAAAATCGTGAAAAATGTGGCACGTTTGTTATACAGTTTGGGGCTGGTTAAAAAATAGTCAGGTGTATATGTTACTATATGGACAAATGTGTGCTTTACACCCCCACCCCCCAGCTGGCATTGTGCATTTTGATCTTAGGCTTCTGTGTAGCTGCTTGGCTATTGAACCCATTTCGTGAAGCTCTTAACGCACAATTCTTTTGCTGATGTTGCTTCCACAGGCAATTTGGAACTCATTAGTGAGTGATTCAACAGAGGATAGGCACTGTGCGCTTTAACACTCAGGAGCCGCATTCAGTGAGTTTGCATGGTCCAACGCTTTGTGGCTAAGATGTTGTTGCTCCTAGGTGCTTCCATTTCACAATAATAGCACTTACAGTTGACAGGGGCAGATTTAGCTGGACAGATATTTCACAAACTGACTTGGGGCAGAGATGGTATCCTATGAGAGTGACATGTTTAAGGTCACTAAGATCATCAGTATGATCCATTCTATTGCAAGTGTTAGCCTTGCAGTTTCAATAGATAATGTGCTTAATTTTATGTAACTGTTAGTAATGGGTGTGGCTGAAACACCTGAACTCAAGAATTAGGAGGTGTGTCCCAATATTTTTGTCTATACAGCGTACATGTCTTTGCTGGATGCAATGGATGCTGCATTTGAAGAAATCACAGCGGACACGTCACATGTTGGGAATGTCTACTAAAAAATGTTTTTTTGCCCTTGTTAGCCATGCAGAGTATCAGGCTAGATAGACACGGATTGCACGAGGTGATGAGGCATTGAAAATTTATAGTAATGTTTCCACATACATAGTAATAAATTTCTGTTTTACTCAAAATGTACACATTATAAATATAAAAAGTGAATTCATGTCTTTTGTTGACATTTATACACTAAAAAGAAAAGGGTGCTTTGAAATTTTCATAATTCACATATCCCAAACAGACATTGTAACAGTAGTAACACTAACAGATCTGATGCCACACAAATATACTGAATAAAACGTTTTTTGGAATTTACATCATTGCACATAAATAAAATCTTTTACTACAACACATTTTCTGTCCATCAGTTTACGTTCTTTTGGCGAGAATTGTTTTGATGTAAGTTATTAATGTACAATCATTTGATGCTACTGCAATCAGTTGGCTATAGAGAAAATTCAGCCTTATTATACAGCAGGTAACTCTTTTTTAAACACTTTCTGGAGAGTCTGTTCTTAAGCATTTTGGCAGTCTTGGTTTAAGCAATAATGAATCATTTAACTTTGATGACATGGTATTCAGTGATTGATTTATTCAATTTTGAAGTTAAATGTTTTGTGTAAGTTATGACTATCCAAGTAAAATATATTATTGTGCTACACAGTATAAACTGATGAGGTGATTGTACTTAAAGATTTGTTAATTTTACAATACTGGAGAAAATGTGGAAAGGCAATTGGAAAAACTCTTATCATATGTGGTCACACAGGTACAGTGGCTCTGCCAGATAAAACATGAAAAAGGAGGAACGGACGGGCCGAGGGAAGACGGGTGACAGCAAGGGACATAAAGTGTTGTAGTACGGCCCCAGGCAACGCAAGGAGAGTAAGGCTGTTCCAGTTTTAAAAAAAAACAAAAAAAAACATAAAAACAAATTTGTCCAAAGCCAAGATGAGGAGCAAAGGCCATAAAGACAATAAATGCGCCTTTACAGCTATGCCTCCATCGGATTGGCTGAGAGCCCAATCCATCAAACCACTTCCTCTTCAGCATGGGCAGGTTTAGACAGTTTGAGGTGGAGATAAGAGAAGAGGGAGTGTCTTCGGTTCTCTTAACCAGAGCGTATTTGGTTTAGCTCAACTTTAGAAGAAACCGAAACACGGATCGACTTGCAAAGCAAGCTTAACCAGGCACTCGCTCGTGCCTTCATTATTTCCTGTACTCGGAGGCCATCTTGTTCAGACGAGCTTAGAGATTTTTTTATCTTTCTTTTTCGTTGTACTGTTTGTGTTTCATCTCTTCCTGTGGTGTGTTTCCTGCTAAAGTTTGGACTTTCTCCTCTTCAAAGCAGCTTTGGAAGAGCAGGACAGGAAAAAGGAGGGGGAGCCGGAGCGATACTTTCTGCCAGAAAGTGGAGTTGTAGTTATTTAATTGTACTCACTTGACTGCTCTCTGAAATGAAAGGCGTAACGTTATAGCATTTTGTGAAGTGCGGCGAACGGAAGAAGCGAAAAGAAAAGAACCTAGAAAGGGAGCCTTTTTCCTGTTCTCCTATAAGACGGAGACCGCAACAGAGCAGGACTACGACCGTACACGAGTAAGTGAACTGTGTCTTGGTGTGTACTCCTGGCTCCCTTGCATCCCTTTCTCTTACCTCCTGGCCTAACTGGCGGTAGCTCTTCATGATGGCCAATGGCAGTCCTGACATGCCCCCAGGACCCCTATCCCAGGTGTTTTTTCCCCCAGGTAGCTCGTCTCCCCCTGGGTCAGTGGTAATACAGCATGCCCTCCCATTTTCACTGTCTGCTGTTCATACACCGGGCTTCCCTGCTGTGGACACAGGACTGTCTCAGGGGCCTAGTGGCGCTTCCAGTATGTCCTTTATGCCTCCCACGCCAGCTGGTGTTTCCTTCATCATCCAGATTGGACTGACCCGAGAGTCTGTACTGCTGCCCCAGGCAGCGGACCTGGCCTATGTCAAACAGGTTGCCTGCTCTATCGTGGACCAAAAGGTGGGTTAAAAAAAAATCCAGATTTATCTGCTCTAGTTTTGAACTTATAGGTCGATCACCTAAACATTGCTTTGGTTTACTTTTGTCATAAAGAGCATCTTGATGTTAAGATATTTCTTTATTGCTATAAATTACGCTTGGATTAGTTATTCCATACTTTTATATTATTTTGATTCAGGCAAAAAAGTGAAAAAAAAGGTGAATTGGTCCGTGGGCTGTGATAACTATATTACTACTTCATTTGTTCAATCTCCTGTTTATAAAATGGTCCTATGAATCTGATACTAAATTTCATGGATGTCACTGTAAATGAAAACTGATGTACCAACTGTACATGAACTTCAGACTACATATACCTTTACTTGTACGTACACTTGCTCTTATATATAAATGTCTTATGTCTTATATATATGCATTGACCATGCACAGATTTGTGAATCTTGTGCATGTTTAAACATCAACTAAGGGATTTACAACCATGTCAACTGATGTGATAGAATTCTTACTGGTGTGCAGACACTTGCTGTTTTATCATCTTCAGCGTTTGATGAAATACTACTGTGTGCTGAAATGCTTAATGTCTCTAATACTGCAGTTGACCAGAAAGATTTTACTACATTGTCTAAATGTAATCAGCTTAATTTTGGCTTGGTATTTCAGCACATTGGATTGAAGATGAAACAATGTTTTAGGTTTAAGAACAACATCTTCAATTCAAAGGCATCTTTGCTAAGTGAACTTTTTAAACCACTTCTAAAGCCTTATCCTTATTTGTGTTGTCAGTGAAGATGTATCAAATAAATTATCAAATTGTTATCCAATCTCTATCCTTTCTGTTTTAAAGACTCCAGAAGAAGCAATTACCCAATTATTGTGTAATTGTACACATGCTATAATAGTAATGGAAATTAATTAATGAATTAATGAAAGACTAGTAAGTATAAACATGTAATGTTATCTAGCATGATTTAATCCTAACTGGAGGCTTTGATTTAATGATCAGTGCAAACCTACTTTTGTGTTCTTTCTACTGTATACTTCAATCCAGAATGGAAGATTTGTATGTTGGGGACTTTCTCCACATCTTTTTCTCCCTCTTTCTCTCTCCTCCTGCTTTCTATGGGACATAGACTATGGCCTAAGAGTGAGTGAGTCATGGTGCGGTTTTTGTTTATTCAAAAAGCTTCCTCTGTTCCATTGACACTTTTTCCATTGGGCTGGCAGTGATATTCACCTCCCTTTCCAGGATAATTTGCCATTTTTACTCAGATCTAGGAGTAAATTTCTCT